TTCGTTTGCTTGAGGCCTGGCTGCTGAGCATCGCCTTGCAGTTTTGCGGCTTTTGGCGGTAGTTGCACCGGCATTAGAGGACACGTTGCTTCGATGTAGTACAATGCGGGTATGTCATTGATGTGACACTGCTGTGAGTATTCTGATAAGGATCCATCCTCCATAATAGCTGGTGGCCAAGTCCTGAGCAGCTATAACACTCGAAGACTCGAAGGATTGCTTCAGAATGCAGCGGAACAAACAATTTGGATCGCAATTGACAATGACAAAACATTTCATGCGGCATATATTGTACAGATTTAGATATGTATAATTACAACATATTACAATGGGGGCCCACCGCGATGGTTTTGTGGCGACAAAACCAATGCACTTTTCGGAAAGCATGGCTGGTCTCCGCTCATAGCATTTACTCAGATGGACACGCCTCTAGTCCCGGAAGCGTTGGATTTACAGGAAGGGTGCCGCCCATGGCCCCCAAGGCCATAGTATTTATGTAATTACAGGCATGGCTCCGCCTGTGGCCCTGTCAGTCACGGTAGTTACAGGAGTGGCCCTGCGTGTGGCCCCGAAAGTCATGCCGCCTTTGGTGGTTGTAGCCCCATGTGTGGCCCGGCTTTGCATGCTATTTAGAGGAGTGGCCCCGCTCACCTAGTTTGAGACTTACAAAGTGTTTAACTCTGGGGATCTGACAGGCAATGCTTTTGAGGAAGGGCGGAGGTGTTGTTGACGTTGTGTCAGGGGCTGCTTCCACAAGGTGCCCGTGAAGTAGCGCTATATAATTTGTTTGCGTGGGCTTGCTGTACTGAGCTGCTTGGTGATTCTGCGGGCACCACAGTGCCCTAAAGTCTTATGAAAAAAAACTTTGGTGTGGAGGGCCCTCGCAGTATCATAAGTGCCGCGGGGTGAGACAAGGGAGAACCCTAGTGATAACTGTGAAAGCAACATGTTCTGCTTTGCGTTGCAAAGTTCTGCACCAGCACTCATGCAACAATGGACTCTTCAGTCGAGCTTTTGGACCCAATATGGGGTTCCATTTTGATTTGGGTTCCCGGTTTTGGATCATGAAGCTGCGCAAGTGCAACTGTACGAGTTGCCACCATGGGATCTGGAATGATTGTTCTTTCTGTCAATTTGTGGGGTGTGTCGGGCAACACAGCGGCAACATGTTTCACAATGATTTGATTTCACCGATCCGTCTAATCAAGGTTCTACAGTATTGCCGAACCCACAACTGCATTAAACGGCTTTCGCTTGGCCTTTAGGTTTGACCTTTGAGTTGGCATTGTTGCGCTTGGCCCATGAGCGGGTCGGAGGCCAAAGGTTTGCAAACGGTGTTCAGCACACAGGGGATTGCCAACAAAGCGTATATGTGCAAACTGCATGGCTGAACTTGCGGACACTGATTGCTCCGCATTCGGTTGTCTCAGGCTTTGAGCCTCCGTGGCAGGAGCGAACCTGAAATGAACTTGTCAAGAAAGAGAGAGAGAGAGAGAGTTACCGACAGAGAGAGAGAGAGAGAGAGAATTACCTCAACAAGAAGGCCCTTTATTAAAGGATGGGCCCTTACCTGCTTTTTGGATCCCTGTCTTTGCTTTGACATGTCCACTTGTTTGAGTTTATTTCTGCAATTTTTTGTCAGGAATCGGCCTTCCACGGAGGTGAAACCAAACGTTGCGAGGCTCTGAGGTGGCGAACATGTTGATGCTTTTTGGCCTCAGGTATTCGGCCCAGACTTCACCAAGGCAGGGAGACTCAGAGGCAACAGTACGCCAATAAATTAGGAAACAAAACGAAGGTAAGGACATTCTTAATGGGGTTGCCTTCAGCCCCTTTATTAAAGAGGAACCCTTTAAAAGAGCCTTATGAAAGGGGCCCTACCTTCTTGTTTTCATCGCTTTCTTTTCTCTTAGAGGCAGTGTTGGTAGTTGCTTTCCCGCAGGCAAGCCATTTGGAACTATTGACATGGTCCTTGCTGGAGGTGCTGCCAAACAATCAGCGACATGGACAAGTTTGATTCCCTAAGACCCCCCCCACCTCCAAAACCCTGCCACCTAAGCAACGGCAACCATAGGGGCTCAAGACTCAAGACGCTGACCTCAAATGGCAGGCATCCCTGACCGCGGTGATTGAGGCATCATGGAGTTTCGGACATGTCAATCTTAAAACCTACAGTAAACTTTCCCAGTACCTTTTGGTGTCATGCAGGCTTTTCTTGCCAATCTTGGATCAGATGGTTTGAGCTTGGGGCTCACCATGCCCAATCATTGCCATATTATCATCTGAATCATTGCTGAGAACTGCCTTGCTTGTGTTGCTCATTTGGTGTTGTGACTGATTTTGAGGCTCTTCAGTAAGCAGGACTCGGGAGTGCACCGTGGGCGCAACAATTCTTAGCTGGTTCATGCTGGTTCTTATTTTGTCCTATAGTCCTATATATATACACTTGAAATGGCTTGTCTCTTCACAGGACAGTACGGCTCTTGGCAACGGCACCTGAAACAGAGCTGCCTGGACTTGTGAATCTTGGACGAAAAGGGGCTATGTTGACTTTGCGTTCATACATTGCTGGATTTCTCTTTGGGCGACTTGATACTGCACGACTGATGGATGCAGTTCCCTTTACCTGACCTCTGATATTGACATTAAACTATTATATACTATTATGACAAAATGGGACCATAAAAACAAGTGTGACCTGTGACTAGCCCAGAAACATGCGGCGGTTTGAGAAAGGCCTCAAATCAAAGCTACCTGACAAAGAACATTTGTGTCTTAAATAGTGAATAGAGAACTCCCGAAGCCACTATGAGCGACTACGAGAAAGCGACACAGTTATTGTAAGACTGCGGAAGAAGAGATGTTGCCTAGTTATCATCCCACTCGCTGCACAACTGATGGGGGAGTCGAGGTTGCAGCTGACAAACACCTCCCACTCTGCAAACACCCTGCGTGCAACTGACGATTCTGCTTGTTCTTGTTCGTAGCCACCGCGAAAGGCAAGCGCAACCCAAAGTATCAGATTCTCATAGATTATCTACTCCATGCAGGGGAGGGCTTTGCTGTGCCATCTACACGCATCCGCGAGCAGTCTTCCGCAGTCCTGACAGCCCTGACAAGGGGTTATGAGTTCTGAATCCTCCCATTCTGTTACCCGATAAAACAGCACACATCACATGATCACCCTCAGCCACCCTTGCACAGCCTGCCACATTGCGCTTCAAGTCCTCTACTTCCGCTCCCCACATGACTGCGATCCGCCAAAAGGGCGCAAACATGCTCCAACTTTTTTCTTTTTAGCCGGGGGGGTAGGCCGAGGTAGCTATATAGGTACCTAGTAGAAGAGGCAGCTACTAGTTTAAGTAGCTAGTACATATGGACGCAGGATAGCCCACGCCCCCCGCCGCCCTAAAGGCGGCCGGGGAAGCTGAAGAAGCGCTGGCACAGTAGAGCTTTAGGGAAACCATGTCTCCTTTCACTCTCACCAGCCCTTGTTGATCTTCCTTTCCTACGAACTATAAACTTTCTCGAAGCAGCCTGGCTGGGCCTGACTGGCCTTTCTTGATGGATCGTCGAAGTGAAGATACTTGAAACAACAAGAAGTGATAGATATTAGATATTTTCCACAGCATGATGTACAAGTGACAGATGTTGAGTTTTGAGCGCTCAAAACAGAACATTTTGGCGATTGGATGAGCATGGTACTTGTATTATGGGATCAGTGAACAGAGTCATTGTGCCGTATGAATGGACACCCAGGCCAGGGCTGCAGAAGATGAGTACCGTTGCAGAAGCCATGGCCATAGCACTGCATACTTCAATTTGAGCACCTGCTGAATTCCTGCTGCACCCATTTATTTATGTTTCAGAAACATCAGTTGCGCCCAAGGCACCTAGCATGGGTTTTGTCATTTCTCCAGGCATCGGAGAATGCCAGGATTGAACTGTTTCTTGCTCTGCTTTGTGGTCCAAACAATGGACACCTTCTCACTATGGTTTTTGCATGGGCTGTTGTGGTGCTTGAAAGTTGTTATAGTATTTATGCAGTATTGTCTTCAAAATACTGTTGTGCAGTGATGAAGGACATGATGTGGGTCCCTTTTGAGCCAGGCACTTGGCACTTGATGCGTTTGTTTTTCCTTGAACTGCATACGGAAGGTCTCTTGAAGGCAAGTTTGAACGTCCACCAATCGTGCTTGTGCAGTTTGTTCCATTCCCCAGGACAGCACGCTTGAAACTGGACCTACTGCGAGCCTTCTGCTCTTTGGGAAGGATGATGTGCCTATTGGCTTCATTGTGCAATACATTACACTTTGCATGCCAAGTTTGATATATTAAATGTCCACCGCACCATCAATTCCATGGTGTGATACTATTGACTTTGCCCATTATCGGAAAGAACATGTTACAGAAGAGCAAGAGCCCATCTCTTTCATCCAAGGTCGACTAGATCCAGAGAGCTTGCGCGCCATTGCGCAAGCTGGTTGAATGCTTGAGACGACAGCACTTCTGCTCGTATTTGGGCCACTCTTTGCTCTTGCTCTCCTATGAACAAGTACTGATCATGATCATGCTGCTATTTCGTCTGCATGTGATTGTCTGACATGGAGTTATGGCATTCCAAGCTGAGAAGCTGACGGAGATCGACTCCATTGCACGAGATCGACGCTGAGATCGAAACGCCAACAACCATTTCAACTGTGTACTGGACAAGCGGCTTTCCCTTGAGCTTCTACCGTACATGCCTCATTGCATGTCGTGAGTGAAACTTGTGATTCTTCAAGATTTTGTACCTGCAGCAATTGGTTCGCCGATCGTCAAATGAGTCAAATGGAAGACAACCTTTGATTGAGTCTTCCTGCGATAGCAGTGGACAAGACAGAGGTAAAAGGAGTCAAAAGGATGTGATTTTGACATGGGGTATCGAACTGAGTCTTCCTGGTGGATTTGGCTGAGAACATAATTTCAGATTGTGACTCTATGTCAAACGCTGCTGTATTGCTCAGCCACACTTTGGGAATGGGCAAATGGTAGGAGAGTAGGAATAGATAGGATAGGTCTCCGATCCACTGTTCAGGCCTCAGAGTGGTATAGATATATTTATTGAATATATAATACTTATATACAGTATAATACAATACAATATAGATACATCGATGTTCAACATGTTTCTTTAGTGAGCAGTGAGTACAGAATGGCTAAGGCTAGCCATGCACTGGACAATGCCTGAGGGACACTGATGACTTGATGCTGGAACTGGCAGGTGTGGCAAAGTTTGTCTTTACATGTCTCTGGATTGGCTGAGGCCTCCGAAAAGGCCTGATGATGCCCCTGCCGAATCTTCAGGCCAAGTTGACAGGTTCCATTAATGATTAATCACGTAATCTAATCCTCAATGTTTCAATGCGTCAGGTTCACAGCCAAATGCTTGCCTCTCAGACATTGAAAGACCAATATCGGTATAGTTTGTTGAATATTTTGTTGAATTGCCTGAGAGATGCAATCCTAGGCAGCGCCTGTCACAAGAAAGTTTTCTGCTCCCCCTGCAGCCCCAGTGCCCCCTCCTGCAACTTGGCGCCAAACGCTGAGGAACCTGGAGGTAACATCAGGTAACTCGCACTCGCACGTCGCACGTATAATAATATATACTGTGTATAATTATATAACTATATTTTAATCTTTGTAAACAACAAACACAAAGATATGTTTGAACGCTTTTCGCTGTGCCATCTTGGACTTTCGCCTAGGATCTGCTTCTTGAGAACAATAATATGGGTTGTCCTTGCTTTTTCAAGAGAACGCTTCTATCAACGGGCCTTTGTTCTCGTGTTCTCTTTTTGAGTGGCCTTGCATCCAGCCACCGGCTTGAAGCGAGAACATAAGGCTACACCATCTCCGAAATATGAGAGCATGGACTTCTCAAAGTGCTCCATGTTAAGAACAAACAGTGATTTGCAGCAAACATGCGGCAGGTTCACAGTTCAACATGAGGTATGTTTGAGTCATGCTGTTCCAGGTATGGCTCTAGTGTTCATGAATCAGATGGCCTCCAAGATGCACAGTATGCAAGGAGGAGTGAGAGTCTTAAATGCATTGCCTGTGCGTTGTGATGTAGAAGAAGTCATGGAGGTAGCTGAGAGAGCTCTGTGTTGGCTTTCTGAATGGCCATGAGGTAGCTATGAGGGCCAATGGATTCAGAATCCCCGGGTATGGCAATGCGTGAACAATATCCAGCTTGGAGCGAAGATGGGTCAGAAGCTATGTTAAGTGGGTGAGGGCATATTTGAACAACAGACATTGTTTGATAGATTGGTTTCAGGAATTGCACAGCTACTTCTGTGAACTCACCACTGTGTAACTACGCCGCTTCCTACGTTTTTCCGTTCTGCTTTGGCCAGTTTATCGACTGAGGTGCCACAGTTGGCGGTTGCTTTGGGCTGCTAACTGGAGCATGGGTGGCAGTCACACAGAGAAACCCTTTAGTGCAACACTCAGTGGACCTCTCAATATCGAACACTTTTCCACCTGCCAATGCTTCTCAGATTCGTTGTGAAATCATGTGCAGGTCTTGCCGGTCTCTGTTGTTGGCGGTGCCATCAGTTTTGGCTTCTTCCTCGGTTGCGGGATGATTATCAGGTTCGCTGTCTCCTGTGAAGGATGGCAACATATGGCAACTCTTTGTGCATGGCACTGTTCACAAAAGGTAGGTTCGAAACAGCTGCTTGTAAATTGAGTTTGACCAGTGAAACAAGTGCAGGGCTAGCTGAGCGGAATCATTGATAAACTATATCACTATATAAAGTCACCCTTCCTTTGTAGTTATTGTTCAACCATTCAGAATGATCCATCAATAGACCCTGCCCCAAAAATCATCAAAACCGCTTTGACGTTAGATTCCCCTTCAGGCATACGCGACTACGTGTCATGTTGATTCCATGCCGTGGTGTGATCATGAGGATATCCTTTGGCACTTCACCAGCAGTGAAAGCGTGCGTGCAAAAATTCAAGATAACATCGACCACGCAAATACCGAAAGGAGTGAGGATTTGCATATGCAAGCAAAAGTTTGATCAACGGCAAACAATAACAAGCCGTGTTGAAGTCCATCTTACTGACACACTGTCCACATTTTTTATTGGAGATACGAAGAGCAGCCGCCCCACAGTGATGCAATTCAGCTTCATATGTTGAGTGTTTTCGACATTTGTGCAGATAGGTGCAAGTCTAGTTTGTACCTGAGAACGTGTCTTATGTGTGTATGTGTGTGTGTGCGGGGATGACTGTCCAAGTCCTGCGCAGGTGCGAGGAGAAAGCAGCAAGTTCTCAATATCTTGAATTGATGCAGCTTGATGCCAAAGCTGCAGTGCCCTGGCATGAATCCAGCCAAGGCCTTTGGTCATGAGTGTACTCAGACATGAGGTTACTTTGTTCTTAGTGCTGCGCTTGCTGCAACTTGCAGCTGCATTGCAGCCAATTCCTCAAGTGACGTTTGTTTCCTTTTGTTTCCTGAATATTCTTTTTTGAGCTGTTCGCGCCTCAGGTGCCAAGCCAGCCAAGACCGCAGCTGTCGTTCGAACCCACGCCGAATGCATGGGCACCCAGATCGATCGGTTATTTTTTTAGTTGAAGGTATCAATTGCTTCCCTGTGGTAGCCTGGAGGGTGTTCAAGCACATTTCAGCCAAGCACCTGGCACATGACCACCATGTCATTCCATCGAGCCTGACCAAAGGCCAGGATTGCAACATGGGTGGCAAGTGAGTCGAAGGAAGTTGAGTGATGGTCAGGCGAGAGAATTTGTGGCTTGGCTCATTTAAAAGCTCTTCTGACTGGAGGCGGCCCACCAAGAATACTACGGAACGCTGAACATTATATATATATATATGTATAATTTCCCCAACTACTTAACTCAGTTAGTTACTACCGACTTGCCACTCTTGATAGCTCCCTGCCCTCATCTCACTGCCTGCATATTATGTAAGCAGATGGTTCTCAGCTTTCCCCAGCCCTATACTAAACTGACTCTGGGTTTGCAGAGGTTTGATGACCGGCTCCTAGCACGATTGGCACCACTGTTTCAAGGTGCCAAGGAACGTTTCAACGTTTGTGCAGCAACAGACGTGATTCCATTGTTGCATTCTGCAGGGGCTGTATACAGCAATTAATTATGCTGTTTATGTTTTCAATCGAAATCTGCAACTCTTTTGGTGCTACCATTTGAGAGTAAACATGGCCTCAGGTAATTCTGTAAACTCTGTAGACCATTGCACCAATCAGAGTTGTCAGATTGTGGAGTGGCTGCAAGTTGCTTTCTCGATTTACGTGCCTTCTTGGCTGAGCTGGTCATTGTCATTGAGCAGCTTAAATGACTTGCACTTCAAGCTTCTAAAGTTCTTGGTGTGCACCTCATAAGCAAGCACTTTACCTGCAAATCAAGCTTCGTGTTTGGATGTGTTCGGCCTACCAAGACAAAGCCGCAAAGTGACGTTTTTCTGTGCCAAATGACCTCATGAAGTCTTGCAGCTTTGGCTTGAGCAGGAAGTGTTACTTTGAGTCAAACAGAGTGACAGACACCCAGAGTAGTGTGCAATCTCTGCAGCACACCACATGTTACTTTTCACAGGCTGTTGCAGACTTCGGAGGCAGAACTTCAACCTTTTTAGCCACCTCGAAATGGAACCGAAACTCGCAGACAACATTCCACTGCGACCTCTTCAACCTCTTCTTTTCTCCATACCTGCCTATGACGCTATGACAAACTCAGACAGTAAAAAGCCACGGCCTCAGAAAGCCGTGTCAAACTTTCCAGCTTGGGCCGTGAAAGTTGTCCATCAGGATTTGCTACTATGAATTATTGGGCCGTGAACTTGGCTGTACCAGCGTAAACTGAGTATGAACATCAGCAGCAAACGCGGTCCTTATCGTTTCTGAGTGCTTTGCAGGTGTGGACAGGAAGTGCGATGCGGCTGAGATCAAAGCGACATATCGGAAGTGATTGAGCTGAACGTTTTGGGGCAGGATGTGAGTGTTCAATCATGTTAAAACATTGGACATTGGTTAAACTTAGCTGTGCGCACTGAGGCTTGCATTGCGCATGCACCCGGATAAAGCACACCAAAATGGGATGTGCCGGGGCCTTTCCATCCAGACTTTCTGTTATTATTGCTGTCAGATCGAATCGCCACAAGCATCAATCCTGAAGAGAGGACTTAGACTTAGCACATTTTGACACAATCGGCATCGCTACTAGGAGCAAGGACGCTACTAGGGGCTCCTGGCCTTACTACTAGGAACAAGAAATGGAGGGCCATTTAATTTAGGATTTGTTTTTGTTTTGTTTAAGGATTTTTTTTGTTTTTCGTGGCTTCTGTGGCTTTCGTGGCTTCTGTGGCTTCTGTGGCTTCGTG